AATCATTGGAGCGCCAGCTGTTGATGTTACCAATTAAGCGGGCACTTTAAATTTTAATTAGCTACCGAAGAGGGGCACTTAATTAATTACTAAAAAGGCGCACACACGCACACATGAGCGGCCGACTAAAACTTGACGAGGTCGTGTCCACCCGGTGCCACCCACCGAATGAATTATAATGCACGGTCATAAATAATAATAAATATGAATTGAGTGCGCCCAGGCTGGCAAATAAACATGCATTAATATGCGGCCAAGGATGTGAAAATAAGGAAGGAAAAAAATTAAAAAACACAAACAGATGTACATGTATGCGTACACACTGGATAATTAACGACACTTGCGACTCGCGTCTGCAGGCAAAACATTTGATAAATGGCCAAAACAGGGTGCCCGAGGGATGGGATGGGAGGTCCTGCGAGTCCTGCGAGTCCTGGGAGCAGCTGCCGCCTGTCAGTTGAATTTAAAGCCATCCACTTCGAATTTGCGAGCTGCACAACTTGCGTGTTGTGTGATGTAAAGCCGGGCGGGAAGAGTTCTCACTTGCTTATTTCCCATTTTGGCAGATATTCATAAAATTTGCATGGGTCGGCACTAGGAAAATGGGGGGGAAAACACCTCAAGTTCAGCAAACAAGATGGGAAAAAGGGTGAAAACAACAGTGGAAACACTGACAAAAAAATACAGGAAAAACATTTAAGAATTTTTGGATTTATAAATTAATTCTTTAAGTATTTAATTATACGCGGTAAACTATGTTGCCTCTTTAACTTAGATTAATAATTTTGTTTTGAATTAAAAAAGCAAGCACTATTTTTGGGTCAACCAAAAAAGTATTAAAAATGTTTCTTTTTATTAAAAATTAGTAAAAAAAATTAGTGGTATTTGATTGACAACTATAAATGAATCCAAAACTCTTATAATGATTGGGGATATGATTTCAACTTTATATATTTACAAAACATTATCTAAATTTAATGAAAATATAAATTTTTGAGCAAACCAAATACATGTAAAGAGGTTTTCAGCTTTAAATAAACATTTTATTAATGAAAGTACAAAATAAAATGGTTTTTAATTTACAAATATGGTAATCATTATCATGTTATTGTGATAAGGTAAATGGTATCAACTTTAAATATTTAAAAAATTAGTCTTTAATTTCAAAATTATATATATATTTTTGTGTAAGTCCAATGCTTGTTCAATAAGTTTTCAGTTTAAAATAAATAAATATTTTAATATAACCAAGTAAAATTCTAAATTGCATGCATTTTAAAAATACAAATAATTCAAGAACTCTCATAATGATTTAGGAAATGATTGAAACATTAAGGGTTATCATTTTTGTGCCAGTGCCGGATTGAGAAAAGGTTTGGGCCAGAATTGAAGCCAGGATGAATCGAGCGTAGCACAGCCATAAAAAGGCAAACTGCAAGCAATGAAACCGAATCAGGAGCATCCATATCCATACAGATGGCTTCCGGTGCCAGGATCCTTGGCAATCCTACCCCCCCCCCCTCCACCAGATTCCCATATCCTGCCTAACACCACGTCCTGTCCGCCCCCCCCCCCCCATACCCAAAAAGGGGGGCGTGGCAGACACACACAGAGACTACGAGTTCAGTGTTTAATTAATGTACGGATTTTGGGTTTCCTTTTGTGCAATCAGAGTGCAAATCAACTGTCAATAAGGCACTGAACACACACACGGCCACACCCACACACACACTTGAATGGTCTGTCCTGAAAGTACGATTGAATATATATATGCACCGACCTATATATATATATATATATGTATACATATAACTACATGCACCATATATTTTTCATCTTTTTTTCGACCCATCTTATTTTTATTTGATGCTTAAATTTTAGCTGGTCTCTGATTTTCTCCTTTTGGGTTAGCTGCAATTTGTGAGCTTGTCAAATAAATTGGTAATTCGAGCTACATACACATAGTCGCACAGCAATTACGTTTCACAAACGTTGGCAGTTACGTAACACAATCCAAGGAAAATGACTTACAGCCAGTCAAATTGCGTATACGTAACGTTAGCCGAACGCCAAATTGGTTTGCAGTATTTTGCAGATTTATTATTTGAGCATAGCAAGCGTGCATCAAAAGAGATGTACTCAAATTATATCAGCCTATCAATTTTAAAAATAATTAATATAAATAAAATTCCTTAAAAAATATCTTTGTTTTTGAGTAAATTACATTTTAAGTTACCCATTAAAGTTACAAATTAAAATTGCAATGTATTTAAATATGTATATATAATTTTAAAAAAAAATAAAACAATCTTAGCTCAAAATTCGGGTCTGTTTTGGAAAATATAAGAACGTTAAACTATATAATTTAAAGTCAAGAAATTCTTGAAATTTTAATATTTGATTGCAGGATTAATACAGGATTTAACCACTTTTGAGTGGTAAAATCTGCATATTGTTCTTGTCCTAACAACTGCCTTTCTAATTAATGTTGGGGGCAAAAACCTAAATTGCATTGGGCGCTCTGCGTTTAAAGTATCATCAATTCGCGGATCCGCAGGACCAAGTTGCCGTTGTTGTGGCGGCTCTGACAAGGTTAAGTGTCCTTAAAGGCAACTGCGACAGGCGGGGGCGCAAACAAAGCGCCTGCCTCGTCCTGTCCCATTGTCCTTTCGGCCCTGTCTTTTGTTGTCAGCTGAGCACAACAGCCGCAAGATGGCCGCTAAGCGACTCACACACCCAAAACGCACACCCATACACTCGCAAAGCGCACACCCATACACACGCAAAACACACACTGGGAAAACACTAAACCGTCGCCGCTTTGAAGTTGTTCTCCAGTGGTCGCTGTTTTCAGAAGGCATACCAGTTCAATTCTATTCCATAGATAGATAATAATATTTTACATTAAAAAAAAAATTAAATAAAATTTTGATTTATTTATTTATTTGTTTGTATAAATAAAGCAAAATCATAAAATATTACCCTATGATAAAAGTTAAACATTTTTCAAATATGTTATTTATCTAATTTTTTCATACAATCACTTGCCAACTAATAATATTTTAAGCCCAAAATATTTTTAAAATGTATAATAAAATTTTGATTTATTTATTTGAACAATCTATACAGCTTATTATAAAATATAACCCTCAAATAAAACTTAAACATTTTATTTTGCTTACTCTTCCCATTCATTAATTGTTTTTAAAGCCCTATAAACATGACTTTATTTAATACAATTTAAATAGTTAAACCTTAATGAATGGTTTAACGAGGGTATTTTAAATTTCGATATGGCGTTCGGGTCCCCTTCCCTTGTTTTTTATGATTATTGTGCTTTTTTCCTTCGCTTTTTGTTCTTTATCCCCGTTTTATGTGTCAAGTTTGCCTGTTGCGCTTCCTGGCCGCCTTTGTCCTCTGGCAGGACTTTCCACTCGCCGGGCGACAAGGAAAACAAATAACAAAATAAAAACCATTGCCTCGCCTTAATTAAAAAGTTAAATTTTGTGTTCCCCTGCCTATGGAACTTGGCGGTTCAGTTTTGTTCTACAAGAGAATCGAGGGGCATGTTTCTGGGGCAGCGAAGCCCTGTTGCCATTTTGAACACAGAATGGCGATGTCGTTGGCCGGCCTGACAGCCCAGACATTCGACTCGAGCCAGCGATTGCAGTTCAACAATCTGGCCATCGCAATACCATTGAATCTTGTTTTGAGGGTATGCTGGCACTTCTAATGAGTTAAACGAAAAAAAAATATTTTTAAAGGTGTCTAAAAGTATGCAGTGCATAAGATTTTCAAATTTAAAAAATATTGTTGCATACTTTTAAACACCTGTCTAAGTGCTTTCAAAGCTTTAACTGTTCCTGTGCCACTATCTTCTGTTTTATATTTTATATCATGTTTTAAAACTATTTCAGTAAAATATTCAATTTAATATTTTTTTATCAAGGGCAATTTAATTTTATAAATAATTTGTAATGTAATTTTATATACTTAAAATAAGACAAATATTACTTACTATTTTATTTAAAACTCCTAAAGTAAGAAAATTATAGGCTTAGCATACTAAGAGCAATGCTGAATTCCTGATCGTCTTAAGAGGATTTAAAAGCTCTTCATTTTTAATCATCATGGCCATCATAATTTTTTCCTCATCATGGCTGCCTTTTTGCCAACCCAATCCACTTTGAAGCTGCGGGCGTTTACAACGAAAAATTATGTTACAAGCAAAGAGCTGTAATCGAATAATGGCTAAATGCCGATATTTATTTAAAGTGAATAATTTTGTCTTTTACCAAGCGCCACCGACATGCGTCAATCATTTCGTGTTTTGGTAATTCCAATTTTTGCCAGAAAACTGTCCGAGATAAAAGGGAATCGCATAATCAGCCATGTTCTGTGGCCGCCCCTTTATTTTTTCTGCCCCCAGAAACCGAAAAACAGCAACATGGACATTTCCCTCTAATTGGCATTAGGCAAAAGTTTTTAGCCACAGCGAGCACGGGGCATCAGCCCTGATGGTTTTCAAATAAAATTAACACTGAAATTATTTTAGTGCGTCAACTTTAAGCCGCTTAGCTGCCATTCGCTGGCTCCCACAAACATGGCTGCACTCAGCAAAAAGCCATTAACCTCTTCCTCCCACAGAAAAAAAAACACTTGACTCCGCCATCTAGTGAAAAACCAAAACTTTTACTGAATAAAAAATTTAAATCGACTGTTCTGATCAGCGGTTGTTAGGAAAATAGGAAAATGTGTATGCAGCTGGGTTTGAAATTAAAACGAGAGATGTTTGTACATTTTTCACCGGTAGGTGGAGCCAACAGTCGCTCTGGCGTCTGGTTTAAAAGGTTTACAATCATGAAAAATACGACTACTTTGATTTAAAAATTGCTTTTGAAGTCGTTAAAAATATAAAACAATCACAGTATCACAGACCCTTCGTTCAAAGCGAAATTTCAGCTAGTCGAGCTGAGGCCAACATTCCTTCAGTTTGTATTCAACTTTCTTACTATTTAGATATAATTTCGCTAGAGTAAAAAATAAAATTTTCAGTTTTCAACAGTTTTGAAGCCCTATTTTTCCAGGCATTTTTCTACTTCACACAAGTAATTCTATATAAAAATCTAGCTAAAATTATTTTTACTAACTTACTTATTTTAACATTACCACACATTTTCAATAATACAATAGCTTCTTTTTTCCATCTACATAATTTTATTTACCTATTTTAACAATTTTTTTTAATAGCTAACATGAACTTTTCGGAAACTATGGATGAGAAAAGAACTGCCTTAGGGTTCTTTGGAGGAATGGAGGAATCCTTGGTAAGAAATCTTAATAATTGATGTTACTGTTAATAACGCCTGATTCCACAGACCCCAGAAAACAGGCATGTTACTCGTACAAGGAAAGTGGTAAAGAGTGCCAAGCTTCAAAAGATGACCGCCAGACCAAGCCCAGGGGCTTCCAGGTACAAGCAAAGCATTGCCCATCTGAAGGCAAGCTCTCTTTCAAAGCGGAGGTGTTTACAGAACAAGGGAAAATATGAACCGGAACAAGCCGAAGACGTGTGGGCCAATACCTCATGGTTCCAGGGCGCCCAAACCCAAACCGAGGTTCCCAGAACCCAAGAGCCGTGGTTCCAAGAAGCCCAAACCCAAGAAGGGGTTCCCTCAACCGAAGACGCGTGCCTCCAAGGGGCCCTTAACCAACCCGCGGTACCCCAAATGCAACAGTCGTGGTTCCAAGGGATCCTTAACCAACCCGCGGTACCCCAAACGCAGCACTCGTGGTTCCAAGGGGCCCAAACTCAAGGCGCAGCTCCCCAACACTCGTTATTCCATGTGGCCCATAATCAACCCCGAACCGAAGACTCATCGTTCCAAGAGGCCCCTTGCCAACCCGCGGTACCCCAAATGCAACACTCGTGGTTCCAAGGAGTCCAAACCCAAGCCGCGGTACCTCCAACCCAAGACTCGGTACCGCAACCCCAACACTCGTGGTTCCAGGGGGCCCATAATCAACCCGAGGGTCCCCGAACCCTAGACTCGTGGTTCCAAAAGGACCAAACCCAAGAGGCTGTACCCCAAGCGCAAGTCCCGTGGTTCCAAGGAGCGCATTCTCAAGGGGCGGCTCCTACACCCCAACACTCGTTGTTCCAAGTGGCCCATATCCAACCTTCCGGTCCCCGATCCCTGCACTCTTGGTACCAAGGGTTCCCCGAACTCTAGACGAGTAGCTCCAAGGGGCCCAGTACTAACCAGAGGTTGCCGAAACCCAACCCATCCCCGAAACCTAGTCGAGAGGTCCAAGCCCGATCCAAAGGGTCGTGAGAATACTAATGTTATAAATTAACTAATGTGTATAGTAGTAGTATGGTTTATTAAATAACAAAATTTCCCACATGGTGCCTTTATAAAACCCCTATTTTGACCCCTTGAAATACTCTGGGAATCTGCTTACTGTAAAGGGTTTGGTGGACTTTCGTGGCCGACAGGCGACGTGGTTAAATTCAATATGGCCTAAAGGGTCCAGAAGGGTAAGGTAGTATGAAAACGTGGTCATGCAAGAGAGAAACACAAATAGTCAGTCTCAAAATAAGAGTTGCCAGTTTCCCAGATCTGCCAACAACAATCGGCTGGGAATATGTGATCCAAATATATTTATTGCACAGTAGGCTCTTGGTATTGACGTCCAGTAGATTTTAAACATAGTAGGCAATTGCTTTTAACTTCCTGCTTATTTTCCGGCATCAGTTCATTCGTCTTCGCGCAGTCAAGTCGTCTAGTCGTTCGCTAAGAGCATTATAATACAACTTTTTCAAACTCAAATTTTTCCTAAAATTTCGATATGATTCAAATAATTATCTTCTTGGCCGGGCCCGTCCTGACGGCTTTTGTCTACTTTTTCATCAATCTGACTTCGTTGATCAACAAGAGCCGCGAGTTTAACCGGATCACCGAGGTCCTGGTCCTGGAGCAGCGGCTCGAGAACGTGGTGGAAGCTGGCCTGGAGGAGAACCCCGACGACGAGGAGCTGGCAACCATGGGGGCCAATCTGATTGCCAACTACCGTTTGGACGTGATGCACCACTTTAAGAAGGAGGCCGGGGCGATTCGGAGTTCCAATAGCGTTACCCATTAATCTGATCTATCTGATGTATCTAGAAGTTGCTGGAAAGTGTAGCTGGAGGCCCAGGACCCGATTCCTTAGGTAGCATCCGCCCATCCGGCTCTTCACATAAAAATTAATTAAAATAAAAATAAATCAAAAGCAACAATTTATCTCATTGTTTTCCTATAGCACATTGGTTATAGCCCCTTAGATTACAGAAAAATGAGTTTAAGCAGGGTTGGTAAAATGAAAAGGTAGTGCCAAGGTCCAAATATCATAAAAATTACAAGTCATGGTTATGCAAAGCATACTTAGTTCACCGTATATGGGATAGCTTATATTTCAAATTTAATTACTTATTATTACAAACAAAGTAAATATTTCTATGCAACTTGGCTTCTAAAAAGAAAATCGTAGAGTCTGTCTGAAACCCTAATTTCTGAAGATTTTGTTCAAGGTCTTTGCATAGTCAGTGGTACCACGGCCCTCCGCTAGGTGGCCCGAAAGTGTGTGCTTCGCTAATAGAATTGATCTGGAATTTCATAATACATTTTTATTATAATTTATAATTGAAATTTGGGACAGAGCAACGACTACTTTGATCTAAAACGTGTATTTTAAGTCGTTCAAAATAGAAAACAATCACAGTAACACAGACACTTCATTCAAAGCGAAATTTCAGCTTGTCGAGCTGAGGCCAACATACCTTCAGTTTGTATTCGACTTTCACATTGTAAAGACATAGTATCGTTAGAGTAAAAATTAAATTTTCGGTTTTCAACAATTTTGTAGCCTTACCAGGCATTTTTCTACTTCACACAAGTAATTCTTTATAAAAAACTAAACACAATTTGTTTCATTAACTTACTTATTTTAACATTACCACACCTTTTCAATAATACAATCTCTTCTTTTTCCATCTACATTTTTTTAAAAATTATTTTACTTATTTTTTATAATAGCTAACATGAACTTTTCGGAAACTATGGATGAGAAAAGAACCCTAAGGGAGATAATGGAAGAATCCTTGGTAAGAAATCTTAATAAATACTGTTATGGTTAACAACGCCAGATTCCACAGATCCCAGAAAATAGGCATGTTACTCGCACAAGGAAGGTGGTAAAGAGTGCTAAGCTTCAAAAGATGACCGCCAGACCAAGTCCGGGGGCCTCCAGATACAAGCAAAGCATTGCCCATCTGAAGGCAAGCTCTCTTTCAAAGAAGAGGTGTTTACAGTACAAGGGAAAATATGAACCGCAGCAAGCCGAAGACGTGTGGGCCAATACCTCGTGGTTCCAGGGGGCCCAATGCCAGGAAGCGGTTCCCCCAACCGAAGATGCGAAGACCCTCCAGTGGGCTTTTAACCAACCCGCGGTACCCCAAACGCAGCACTCGTGGTTCCAAGGGGCCCAAACTCAAGGCGCAGCTCCCCAACACTCGTTATTCCATGTGGCCCATAATCAACCCCGAACCGAAGACTCATCTTTCCAAGAGGCCCCTTGCCAACCCGCGGTACCCCAAATGCAACACTCGTGGTTCCAAGGAGTCCAAACCCAAGCCGCGGTACCCCCAACCCAAGACTCGGTACCACAACCCCAACACTCGTGGTTCCAGGGTGCCCATAATCAACCCGAGGGTCCCCGAACCCTAGACTCGTGGTTCCAAAGGGACCAAACCCAAGAGGCGGTACCCCAAGCGCAAGTCCCGTGGTTCCAAGGAGCGCATTCTCAAGGGGCGGCTCCCACACCTCAACACTCGTTGTTCCAAGTGGCCCATATCCAACCTGCCGGTCCCCGATCCCTGCACTACCAAGGGTTCCCCGAACTCTAGACGAGTAGCTCCATGGGGCCCAGTACTAACCAGAGGTTGCCGAAACCCAACCCATCCCCGAAACCTAGTCGAGAGGTCCAAGCCCGATCCAAAGGGTCGTGAGAATACTAATGTTATAAATTAACTAATGTGTAAAGTAGTATTATGGTTTATTAAATAACAAAATTTCCCACATGATGCCTTTTTATAACCCCTATTTTGACCCCTTGAAATACTCTGGTTTTCATTTAACATATTGGGTTTAACCCCATAGATATATAGGAAAAATTAGTTTTCATAGGATTGGATAACCCAATTTGTTTTAAATACTTTCATATATTACGGTTATAGGTCTTTAGTTGGCATAAAACGAAAAGCCCGCTTCTCTGGCCTTTTAAACTGCTTTTTGGAGATTGTGCGAGTGCAACCAATCAAAATTCCTGTTATAAAATCAAATTTTCATTGCTCACAGTGAGCATTTCCTTTAACATTTCACCCAATGCTGGCATTTTGGGCACTTTTCGGTTTCTCGCAACTGGCATCTGTTTGCCTCAGCATTCTTTTTTTCAGGATTTCTCTTCCTTTTTTTTTTGACTGGTTTCGCAGTTCCGGTTCCGTTTTCTGATTCGGGTTTTAGCGGCCCTAAGCTGAGGGGGCTTCGATGGGTTAAACTGTAACTGGGCACAAAGGGCAGCAATTTTCGGGCCGCTTTCAGTTGTAGTTTCATCTTTCGTTTGTTTTACAATTCACACTCGCACACTCACATGCGTTCGGGCAATTTTTTACGCCTCACCTCAAAGAGTTTTTCTGGCCTTGTGTTAGAATTTAACAATTTTTTTCACTTTTTTTAACGTTTGCCCGGAGGCCGAACAAAAAAAAACCAGCTCGAATGATTTGGTTTGTTGCATTTTGGCAAGCGTTGAAACGATCTATCAATTTTTATGGGGGAAAATTGCGAATTAGGCCACATTTAATATTATTAAATATTATTGGAAATTACTAATTGGCCAAGAGTATTCTTTGAATTTTTTTGGCTTTACAGTATGGTTACCGAGTAATTTATTACATTTTTTTCATTGCCTTACCAATAAATTAAATTTAATTATGAATAAATTGAAGCTTTAATTGTATTTTTTAAGACACTAATTGTTTTTTTGGAGCACTTAATAAAAATATATTAAACAAGGTATGTTCCAAGTCGGTTTTCAGGGCCCATATTCTTGGCTCCTTTTTATGCAGTCGGCGTTAAAAAACCATTTTTCAAAATATTTTACTACCTTTTTGTTGGCCCTTTTTGCCTTGTGCCAAATTGGGAGGGAAATGGGTTAGTTTTTTATTATTTTCCTCTTTTTTTGGCTGGCCTGGTATGATATTCATCCTGAACTCCAATAGAAAGTGCAAAATTTGAAACAATAACTTTTACGCACGTCAGTGTAAACTCACATGGAAAATTTGCATGCCCCACAAACACGAAAAAAAAAGGAAAATAGAAAATAGAAAACAGAAAAAATAAAGAAAAATGGGAGAACCCTCAAAGCAAAGTGAAAATGTGTTTGAGTTTGTTGTAACAAAAGAACAGAAAGCGGAAAATGCATGGGAAAGTTGTTTTGCTATTTTCTCCAACGCTTTTTTCGGTGTGTGTGCCATTTTTGTTTAGCATTTTTATTAAAGCAATTTGGCTTTGTGTAATTTGCACTTCATTAGCAGCTGGCTGAAATTGAAATTGCCTAAATGGAATTAAAGTTTTTGCCGGCGGAGCGTAACTAATGAATATATATATATATATGTGAAGAAAGTACATATGTGCACCCCGCTCCAGCAAACATCCATAAATGTTGCTTTACATGTTTGAGTTGGATTTATGTGGCATGCACTTAAAGTGACTTTGTGGTTTCATTTATGAGCTGCTGCGGTCCGGGGTGACCATGCAAAAGTCAGTGGCTGCTGCCTGATAATTTATAAACGGAACGGTCAGGGAGCCAAAAACGAGACCCGACCAAAACTGGAGACCAAACGAAACCAAACCAAACCAAACCAAACCAAACCCGGCCAAACCAAGCCAAACCAGACCGACAAACCAAAAACCCAGCCAGGCGAACTCACTGGAATGCAGTCTATTAGAAGCGCGTTATATACCCACACACCTGCACACCTCTTACCTATGTATATCTTACACACACACACACATGCAGCTCTCGCAGGACCTCTCACCCACACAGGTGCGCAGTCAATAAAAGTCCAAGTTCGAAAAGGAAATGCACGTGTGTGTGTGTGTGTGTCTCTCTGCGAATGCGGTTGAAACAAGTTGATGATTAATGCAACTTGAATTGCAGACTTTGCTTTCAACTCCTAAGTCCAAAGACTAACCGAAATAAACTTCAGTCAAGTTTTCATCCTGCCAGCGGGTAAAAACTGTGACTCCAATGGGGGAAAAGCTGCCAGTGATACCCTGTAATAGGATTTAAAAGGGATTAGGGAG